ATTACCGAATGACCAGAGTACAGACGGATGTGCTCTGTTGTAACGGACATACTTAATGCAGGGATGCAAAATGCAAGATGAGTGTAAAAAGAAAACTATTCCGTCAAGTACAAGATAGGAATCGTGGAGGAATCTTGGGGCAAGAATCTTTTGTAAGAAAACATAAGACATCACCTGAAAATAAGCCCTAATATGTCTTTCAGAGCAAAAATTAATATGACCCAGTCTTATTTTGGGGGAAACACAATATCTGGGAGTATACCTTATGGAAATCAATGTTGTTTACTTCTGAGTAGATATGTATAGGATAGTATACACAATGACTCTGAAGGTGAATCTTAGCCATTTTACTGACGGAAGAACATGTATAGCTGACTCATTTGGGGTGTGATTGGAATATTGAACGGCTTGCTATCTGCAAAACATTTGTGCCCCAAACTGTTTCTGGGGAAGGGAGGTTTTCCAAAAATATACTACAAGACATCTGACTGCAATAGGAAGGAACAAGTAGTTAAATATCACTTCTAGCAATGTAAAAATAGGCTTATAAAGGCACATGGACTAGAAGATGCTGCTTGGATTTGGGAAGGTTTTCTTGCCTTCATGGCTTTGGCTTAACCAAAAGGCAAATTTCTGGTTAAAATGTTAAAGGATATAATAAGGTACTGCAACCAAGATATCACTGTCAGTGCTATATTTAAGCCCATGGTGTGTTCCTATATTTAGTAAGCCATTCGAGCTCAAAATCTTTTGTCACCCACTTAAGCGTTTGTGAATGTGTGTGTTGTGTGGAACCTGCTGACCCAGGCCACCACAAATGGCGTAAGCCTCTGCTTCAGCTCAGAATGTCTTTTGGCCGCTCTTAAAGAGAAAAGAAAAAAGCTAGGGGATCCAGTCATAGATCTTTACCTATCACTTGTATTTTGGCCTTACATGTATTGTATTTCTGTCCTGTGTCTGCTTTTAACAACTGCTTTATAACTGCTCATCCTACCTCCCAGTCAACCTCCCTTGTGCTGGACTGACATCAAGTCTTGAGGCAGAACAGGTGCACCGGAAACTCCCAAGCTGGAGCAGAGTGCTGTCTCTGAACCCTTTGAGACCTTTGGAAACGGCGGCAACCTAGGAGATATAAGCACACATGCTTTGGGATGACAGGTCCCGCAAAGGGGAGGGCTCCCCTTCAGTTTGGTGTTTCGGGAGGCAATGGCATACTTTGTCTCCTTATTTTCCCTCCCTCCCTCCCTCCCTCCCTCCCTCTCTCTCTCTCTCTGTTTGTCTGCCCGTTTCTTCATTTTAATACTGTGTGTGTGTGTAGAGGAGAGGTTACCCTCGGGAACAAAAGGGATCATCTAATGGAAGAGTTATACCCTTGGGGTTTACAAGCTGTTGTTTGCCCTGGGTGAAGAACAGGGTCTTACAGATGCTTTTTTTGCTCAGTTTGGACACTTGTGGTGGCTTCCCTGTTAATGAGACTGGGTATGGGGAGAAGTTGTTTGCAGGACTCCAGGTGAGGGATGGCATGAGCATGAACCACTGGAAGGAGGTTTGAAGGGCAAAGAGGTACATGTTCTGGTTGTCCTCTATGCTGCTTGGTGGGTTGGCAAGCTTGCCATATATGTGACCAGTGGCTGCTGATAACCACAAGTTATATTTTGAGATGGGTTGGTTGTGTGTACTTAGTGGAATGAAGAGAGTATGTGAGGTTCTGAGTGTCTGATGATACATTTAAGTTGTTGAGTGGTGTTGCGAGTGTGTGGGAAGTTCTGGTGTTGTAAGGAACACTATTTCATGGACCTGTGGAGGTAGTACTTTTTCAGTGACTTGTAGCATAAGGAGATAAAGCAGCAGGAGGGGGCTAGGACATCAGAGTAAAATGAATTATAGGAGTCTATATAATGTTATCTGTACCTTGCAGTTGATCCACTAAGCCCTCTTTTCTTCTTGTGCTGCCATTTAGGTCAGTCCCTAATAAGGGCACGCTAATTCATGATTTGGTTGTGGAAGAGAAGGCTGGCCTGGCATGTTTTACTGAGAACCGGATGGGTGAAATAAGTGAGGCTGACCACATGGGTACGTGGTGCAGCACCACTGTAGGCTAGGAGACCAATAGGAAGGGAGTTACAGCGGTTGACAGACCTCCATCTCTCTCATCAGGAAAGCACTTCACCTTCCAGCAGGTCTTGAGCGGTTGCAGCTGAGGTTGGGTCATAGAGACAGATGCTTTTGGTGTCTTGACTATTAGCTATCAAACAGGGATGCTGCTGGTGAACCTCCCACATTTCTGTTCACTCTGACAGAACTGGTCTCATGTGCAGCGCTGCAGAAGAGAAGACAGAGGTTTTGGGTGACTTTAATTTCCATGTTGAGGCTATCTTTGGTGCTGGACTTCCTAGTTTTGTGGCAGCTATGGGGATGCCTTGGTTTGTCATCTGCCCAAGTGTGGCATACTGCTGATTTAGTCTTTGCTGTGAACCATGAGATGAGCACTCTGAAAAATGGGGGCATCCAAGCCACCCCATTGTCATGGTCAGGTCATTTTCTGATGAGATTTGAACTCATGGTCTTACATTGCTCCTGCAGTGGTAGATAAACCATTGGGTGGTCCACCCTGGGAAACGGATGGAATCAAATGGATTTCGGAATGCTCCTGGGGATTTTCTAGTGTATGGAGCTACTGATCCAGCCAAGATCCTGGTCCCATTGTGGAGGGCTATCAGCTTGATTACACCTAAGTGCTCTCTTCAGCATTGTTGAGCTCACTTTAGGGCACAATCCTAAGCATGTTTAGGGAGAAAAAAGTCCTACAGCCATCTACAGCTTTTCTCTGTCTAAAGATACATACGACTGTGCCCTTCGTCTTTCTGGTACCACAGGATGCTTTTCCAGGACTTTGTCTATTTTTGGTCCAAGAGGCTGATACAACTTCTTTTCTGGAATTCAGATAAGAAACTGGATAAATGTTTTCTCACATGGATACAGACGTTAGGTATTTCATATAAGAATACATTTGACTTTACATTTGTCTAGAGCAAGGAAGAGCCATGCTCTTTGAGAATGGACATGAAGGTCTCTAGTTCATGTAGGTCTCCAGTTTATCACCAGTTAGCTCATTTAAAAAGGATCAGCAGGGAGGTGATGGCAAATACCTCTGCCTTAGTTCCTTGCCTCGTCAGCTTCTGTGTAGACAATTCTGGGCTAGATGGACAAATTATCTGACCAAGTGTAAAGCAGGTTCTTGTGTACTGCTTGTATTGTTGTTGTTCAGCTGTTCAGCCATGTTTACCTATAAGCAATTCCATGGGCCACCCTTTTCAATCCAGTGCCACTTCCTTTAGTTTGTATCATACAAGGAAAAAAAAGGCAACTGTGTTTGCCATTAGAAAAATGCCAAAGTAATTTGGCTATAAGGAAAAAAAATACAGTGTGATACTTTTGTTAGGCCAACTCAAAATAGTACAACAAATGCTTCATCAGACAAGATGCTATGAGGGGCAGAAGAAGGAAATAGGCAGAAGCAAAGGCAGACTGAATGTTGTAGTTAGGACCTCTGTGCAGTCAGAGTCTTTTTCCTATCATCTTGAGACTTGGACTGCAGACATCCTGCCTGCAACACCCAGTAAGCCTTTTCCGCAACCTGCTGGTAACATTTTGCCTTATGTGGTGATCTAGAAATTTTGCAAGCTTGCACATTTGTTCTGATCTTAGAATTGATCAGAAATTCTAGTAAATTTACTAAACTAACTTAGTAAATATATTGGGATATGTGGTATATGTCAATTTTCCTGCACAGGATAAAGAATAGTTTTTTAGGTGCTGTTTTTAATCTGGAAAATAGTGCAGGGGAAGGTGTAAGCCTCTCCATCCCCTAGTGCTGTGGCCCTCATCTAGTTCCCCTCCTTAGCTGGTATAATTAAAAACAAAGCAAAACACTGAAGATCCTAATAATAGATCACCCATGTTATGGGGGCCCTTTCTGATGTGATAAACCACTTTCTGGACTCATATGACTTTGAAATACAGCTTAGAGGCTCAGATGACGGCATTTTCCTTCACATAAACAAATCCTCTTTACACACAGAAAACTGGAAGGCAGGCAGACAACAGACCTTGGATATCAAGTTATCTGTGTGGAGAGAAATGTCCTTTGCATATGGGAGACCACTGCACCATGGGAGACCCCACCTGCAGTCTCCAGGGGTAAGGTTCCCCTTTTCCGGGACTCTTGCTATACAGGACAAAGATGGCAAGTACGCTGCTCTGTGATTGCACCTGGAGGCCTCCAAGCAGCCAGCAGTTCTGCTCTGTGATTGCACCTGGAGGCCTCCAAGCAGCCAGCAGTTAACATACCCTCAATATATGAGGGAGCAAAGGAATGCAGTCCAGCAGCATTCATTGAATTGCTAGGAAAAAGTGCCACAAACTGGCCAAGACTCACCAAGCAGGCATATTCCTTTTGGGCTTGCTTTTTTCTGGACATGTAAGGCTCAGCAGTATATACATTCTTACACTCGCAAATCAGTGCAAACATCTAACAGGACAGCAGCCTTAGGGCCTTTTGATATTATGTCTTTATGCATAGACATAATATCAGAGCAATGTTTTGTGGTTACTGCTCAAAAGTCAGACATCTTTCCAAGTAGCACTCTTCTGTTGCAAGGAAACTGCATTTTACAAGCACTTCTATGGCAACATTTTAGTGCTGGATAATGTGATATTTCCAACCTGCTGGTAGATTCGCTGGTGTAGAATGCGAGTGTGGAAACGTAAGATTTTTTTTTAAGGAAATGTAAGTCTTTCCCTATTGTGTAAAAAACAAGGAAAAAAGAATTGCAAATGTTTTAGAAACATCCCACCATATCTAGTGAACTCAATAGGACATCTCACCATGGCCCATGATATAGAAAGTTACACTCTTATTTTGAACAAGGTAAGGCACTTAGTGAAGAAATGTTATATGTTGTGTGTGGAAACATACCAGAGTGCCTGGAAACATACAAAACCTTGTGTTTGGTATGAAGATTCTCCTACGATATATCATTTCTGGAAATAATTAATGGCAGAGAAAATTAAAAGATGTTAATATTCCTCTTCTCTTACAACATTTAAGCCAAGAAAAGGTCCTCTTATCCATCAATAACCATTTAGGGCTGAAACCTGTCTGGTCAGGATTTATTAATGAATTGGATCTATAAGATGAAAGTAAGGTTCGATCTTTCTCTTTTTTATGAATTAATATAATTCTTACGTTGTTCCTTGAATCTGTTATCATGGCTCTTTCTAAACACTCATTAAATAATCTTTCCAATTTATTAACAGATAGCTTTTCTACCTGTTTTACAGCTTTGTTGATATTCTGTCTATTTGTTGCTGTTATATGCCATTCAAATTGTCTCTGACTTACAGTGACCCTATGGAATGAACGCCCTTCAAAATATCCTCTCCTTGCTCAGCTCTTGTAAATTCAAGGGGCTGCCTTTACGGAATGGATCCATTTCAAAGTTGGTCTTCCACTTCTTTTTCTGCCTGTGACTTTCCCTAACTTTACTGTCTTTTCCAGTGAGTCTGGACTTTCTGTGATGTGCCTGAAGTGGAACAGCTTCAGTTTTGTCATTTTTGCTTCCAGGGAATGTTCTTGATTTAATCTAAGAGCAACTTGTTCATCTTTTTGTCAGTCCAGGGTTTTTGCAAAGCTCTCTTCTAGCATTATGTTTGCAACACATACATTTTCTTCCTGTCAGCTTTCTTCACTGTCAGCTTTCACAGCCATACATCAGATGCATCAGTGATCAGGAATACATAGTGTGGATGATCTTGGCCTTGGTCTCCAGTAAAACATCTTTATACTTGATTATACTAGGTTTCTTTATACTTGATTATACTCGGTTATGATTATTGAGTGATGAATAGGAATACATTTACTCTCAAGGACAGGCAAGATCTTAGGCCATTCATGTGAAAGAAAAGCACTATAAAGTAATTTATGGGCATCTTATAATTGCATACAATGTATCCAAATATGAAGCTGATGCATGTTGGAAATATAGTCACAAGTGCAAATATGATCAATATGTGGTAGGAATGTCCAAAGATATTGTTGTTCTGAGAACTGGAAAGGAAGAAGAGGCAGGTAAAACTATGCCAGATAACATACTGATAATCTTATGATATATGAGGTAGTTAAAATTGAAGCCTGTGAGTTGGTGTGGCATTTATTGACAGCAGCTAAGCATTGGAAACAGTCAGGAAAATATTATTCCATTTCCATTTCCCTAATGGAAAATATGGTGGGTGGCTGCAAGGGCTAAGCTAACAGAATTGTATGAATGGGAGTCAGGAAAAGAGTGATATTAAAATTTAGGAAAAAATGGGCTAAGTTCTTAAATTTGATGGGATAGGAAATATTATTGTTGAAGGATGATTGTGAATTCCATTATATATAATTACTATTTGCAGTATAGATTGCATACTGCATATGGCATTCACAGTATTTTCATATATTACTATGCAATACAACCTATCTGAAAAAAGAATTAAAAGCAATTAATGACTTTTATCCACACAGTAAAAGGAAGTGGGTCAAAACTACATGTCAGGTGGATGATGTGCCTTCTTTCAGATTATTATATAATCAACTGGGAGAGAAGTGTCCTTTTGATATGGAGGAGAATTGCATCATGCAAGTTTCCACTTGCAATCTGAAGTGGTACTGTTCACTTTCTCTGGACAAATGTTTTTAGGACAAAGATGGCAAGTACCCTGCTTTTTGTTTGTAGTCTTGAGCAGATAAAAGATAGCCCCAATTTGGCTTGGAGGTGGTGGCAGTGGGGAGAACGTTTTTGTTTGTTTCGTGGCTCTACCCCTGAAAACTCCGGGCAAGTAGAAAACCAAGCAGCAGACTGGAATATACATTTTCTTTCTGGCCTAAGAAACCAATAAGTGGGGAGGTTCCGTGTTGCTTGTTTTACTGGGGGGATCCCACTTGCAGATCCCACACACCACTCTGGCCTCTGAGGAATGCATCACGTTAGTTTGCAGCATACAGCCCGAGATCTTCAGCTATGACTGTCCGCTGACCAGCAAGAGTTTATTATTGTTATTCTGCACAGCATCTTTTTTGTGTTTAAAGGGCTTTAACAGGTGCATCTCGAGACACATTTTGCTAGCGTCATGCAGCAGGGCCGCACGACGGTTCTTGGCTAGGCCGGCCAGCCAGCCAAACAAAGGAGGAAATATCGGCGCGGACGACCCTCAGCCAGAGAGAAGAGATGCCGCTTCATCATCAGAGGGCCCGTCAATGGGTCACATGACGGAGACTTGAGCAACGCCCACGTTGCTCAGCAGACTCGGCTAAGGGATGGAACGTGCTCCTGCCCTTGCAATTCCCGGGCTAGTTTTCCTTCCAGTAAATGTAAAGAGTAAAATAACAGTCAGGAAGATCTTGCTAGCGAGCCTTGGTTCAAATATTTGCAAACAAGGTGGCGGGTTTTCGTATCGAGTTTTTCACGCAGTTTTCAAAATGTGTGCATTACTTTTGCAGCTCGACTCGTCCTTTTAAAAAAGCGTGCTCGCTTTGTGCATCGATATTTCCGTTCGTGTGCATTTTCCAGTGGGGGAATTTCCCGCATTGATTAAGCCTCCCATGCGTATGGCCTTGGCAGCAGTGCTCAAAGGCGACATGCTGTCAGGGTTTTTTCTCCAGGAAGCTTTCCATACGACCCCTGAACACGCTGGGACTCAAAGCGGACATGAGGAACGTGCAGGGATGCATGACTTTCTGGGATGGCCGCAGGGCCCTCCTCCCCTTCCTGCACACAGAAGGCGGCCAGGGTTGTCCATCAGCCGGCAGCGGGAGACCGTTTCTTTCCCCGACGCGGCGAGCTTTCCTTGAACAGCCAATCGCAGCGTAGAAAGTGGGCAGGTTTTACCCTCGGCCACTATCGCGTGGAGAAAAGGAGAAAGGCAGGGAAAAAAGCGGCATCTTTTTTTTTAACCTTGTGGGGAAGAAAGGCAGTTTAGGATCTTGCATACTCGCAGAGAAAACGGGAGATAAGAGGCCAGTTTTGCATCCTTCTCTCAAAGATCAAGCACCAGCTCCTTGCCCCTTGCGTTGGCATTTTATTTAATCAGGCAGAATGATAGCTGCCCAGCTTCTGGCCTATTACTTCACGGAATTAAAAGATGATCAGGTCAAAAAGGTAAGGCATAAATCGATCGCCTTTACATTTATCACTGCACGGTAGTCCCAGTTTTGCTGTAGTGGAGGGTTTAAAAAAATGTATATATTGCATAAATCGGTTTTTGTGTGTCCTCGGCGTTGAGTTTTTAAAAGGTGCACTTAAAATGGATGTTTTTGTGCCTTGATCGTAAAGCCTTTTAGACAATGCAGAAAGAGCCTTACTCATTGCAAGCGGTGCTGTTACTACGCTGCAGTGTCCTTGAAAGCTCGTCGGTGTCATAGCGGCGATGAGTAACACAACCGCCATGGTTTCCTTCCTCACCGCCTAGGCTGGTGGAATCGTCTGTCTATCAAACCTTGTTACTATAAACAACCGATCGTCTAGTCAGCGACTGTGCGATTTGTCTGTACGTCTTTTATGAACTTGAAGGTTCAAAGGCCTGCTGATCTGCGGATGCAAAATGAATTGCTCCAGCTCTGCGTGTGTGTTTGTGTTGAGGATCTACTAAATCTGCTGCTGCTCTTCTAGATAGCAATAATCAATCTCCAGACACAGGAAGAGAACCTCTGTGGCACCTTAAAGATTTAATATAAGTCGTGGTGCAAGCTGAACAAGATGTAGCTGGGATTTTGTCACCCAATTCCTTCCGGTATTTTGCCTCCATGAAAGGCCTCTGGATTTAGCTGCAGGCTAACCCTTCTGGGATTACTTATCATTTCATTAAGGTAGTGAGGCAAGGAAATTGCATTGAAAACCAGAGCCTCTTAATTGGCCTTCAGAGGTGAAATGTTCGGTAGTTATAAAAATAAAATTGGATAAAGTTACATATTTTATGTAGCTGTGTTTAATATTAGCTCTGGCCCCATATTGCCCAGGGGATCTTTTAAGGATGCAGTGCCTAATATTAGGGAGAAATTCCTCATTTCCAGGAAGGTTCAGGTATGATTTAGGCCTGTCCCCAGGGAGTGGATGGAGATTTTAAGTTGCTAATTTTGTCTGCACTGTAGACCAGGCATGGAAAACCTCAGGCCTGCTGTCTCAGTCTCCTTTGCCTGGCCTCCTGATCCAGATTTCTCAAGGTCCCCATTTGGCCCACCCTCTTTTCCTCAACCCCGGTTTTGTATGGTATGTATCGGGCTGAAGTGCTTTTCCCAAGGCAGTAAGAGCCTTCCACTATATTATTCTAGCTTTTTCCACTCCCTCATTTTAGTCCATCTTCTGCTTTCAGCCCCACCCAACGCTGAGATGTATCCCCTGAGTCTGAAGGAGGTTCAGCACCCCTCCTGTAGGCTAAACAGCAGCTTTTCCATAAACTAAATTTTATTAGGGAAAGCAAGGCAGTGATCCTATATTTTATCAGTGTTACACATTATTGAACTAAGGAATGTATTTGGCATGGCAATGTAATCTTGCAAAATTGAAGTGCAATCCTAGATGTATCTACTTAGAAGTAAACCACATTGAGTTCAACTGGATTTACCAGCGGGTAAATAAGTATAGGATTACAGTGTTAATCATATGGGCTATAATCTTTTAAAATAACAAGTGGATATAGGTTTCTTTCCTGTGGTGTTTAAGTAAGTTTATTGTGTTTGCAAAAAAAAAAAAAAAAGTTAAACAACATCGAAAGTCCAAATCAAGTTTGATTACTTACTGTTCAAATGTAGTTACATTTCTTAAAATTTATTTGGCACTGTTTTAGATGCCTACTTTTTAAAAAATTATAAAATGTAGCTCTGATGGTAAAGTTATACTTGAAAATATGCAGGCACAGTTTGCATAAAGCAGTTTTAAAAATCTGATAGCCAAGGTATGAAGCTGCTCTACACTGTATGCATCTATATCTTCTTTGTGGTCTCTCTACCTTTTCCCCTGTCCACCTGCCTCTGCATTATGCTTCTGTCAACACACAGAACCTGTTAAAGTTCTATGAGGGTGCAATCCATGTTTAGACAGAAAACTGTCCTACAACTCCCAGCATTCCCTGCTGAGCTGTGGCTAGGGATCTCTTGCTCTCCCTCCCCCCTCCCCAATCGTGCATAGAATTGTGCTTTAATATCTTGCAAAGCAACAAACATGGGTTCAAAGTAAGCAGTCGAATGGAAGACCAAATCTTCTTTATTAGTTTGTTTAATTCATCCCGAGAATGAGATCTGAGTTATTTTGGATTTTCTCTTACAAGAGAATGAAAGTACTTGCTAAGGACTGGTACTTTGAGAAGAACAGGCTGTTAGGTGTGATTAAAACTAAAAACAAATGACCATTTTATTGTGGCACACTTCTTTTTGAAAGCACAAGGTCAAGTGTGTTGCCATAGAAATTTTAAAATCATCAATTTAGAAGTGGGGAAATAGCAGTAGGAATACCATTATTCTTGAAGTATGAAGCAAGGCTTTGAGGAGAAGTTGCTAGGATTCCTTGTATGGGATAGTGATGAGTTTTGGCCACCCTGTTGGAAGGATACCATCCAATAGGTAAGACACACGCAAGTAGCCCTGACTGCATGGTTATGATATTCACATGTGCTTCTCTTTATGGTGTGTATGTGTGGGAGAGACAGCTCTGTTAGTGAACTAAGCATAGCTGTAGAGCCCATGTGCTCATCTTGGTTGTTGATACTGAAATGCTTCCTGGGACCTCTGGGATTCTGAATAACTGGGGGAGTTTGCAGTTCATCTTTTTGCATTTTTAAATATTCATTTATGCATTATTTTGCATTTTCAATATCCAGAATCTTATGCAAAGGTGTTCATTTGTTTTTACAAAAACAGTGGAAAATTGCTGTGTAAATGAAAGATGGGGGCAGGGGACGTTCCCACATCTTTCCTGGGGTACAGCCATGCAGAAAATCCAAGTAAGATGGAAAGAGGACACTGCCTGCTTCGAAAAATTCCAGGGAAAAGTTTTTGGGGCACTGAGCTTCGGGCATGCCTAAGGCACAAGAACAGCAGCTCTGTTTTAGAGGGAGGAATTGGCTTGTTGCCTCCCCCATAAGTAAATGTTATTTGCTACTTTAAAAGGATATGTTCTTGTTAAGATTAGCAGCTACAAATAAGTTTTAAAAAATCTAAGTATAAATACTTCTAAATACTTCTGAGGTTTAAGACTCTTAAAAGCTAAAGGAGTAAAGAATAATGATTGATCTTGTATGGACCAAATTAGCACAGTTACGAATACCATTCTATTCTCAAGGCCTAGCGTTATTCTTCAGTTCTTATAGAACCTAGTGGTATCTTGAAATATCTTTGGGATAAAGTTCAGTGGGTTACATTAAGAATGGCACTGTGATTTACTCAGGTAAAATGAACCCTGCAAGGCACACTTTGTGTTTATTCTTCTAGATGTTGGACTTGGTTCTGTCATTAACCTTGTTAACAACTTATTTTGCTTATTCATGGTATTAAAAAAATTGCAAGACATGAACCACAAAGGCAGCTGCATTAGCCATGATAAAAATGCCAAAATCCATATAGTGCAGTTATCTATTAGGCTAACTCAAAATCAGTACAAATGTGCCAGCTTTCCAGATCTTTTCTGGTTCACCCAGAAGGGAGAGAGTTTTAAGCTAAAAAGTGGGCTTTGTTTTTTCAAAAATGGAGGCTCAAAGAAGCAGCTTTCTTCTTCCCAGTGGGCCAAGGGGCACTGAAACCTGAAACTATCACATCCCCAGTCTGAATGTCGGCAGACCTTCCCTTGCATCATCTTAAGATTCAGGCTGTGCAGGCATTTTGACTAGCAGTGCCAGTCCTTTCTCCCCACATTCTCCTGTCCCTCCAGCTGCCTCAGCCCACCTGCATTCTGAGGCATTATGTCTGATGAAGAGCTTTGGAGACCATGAAAAGGTGCACATCTTTGAGCGTACTTGATAAAAGTATTACCTGCTATGTGTACAGGGTAGGAATTGCAGTTACCTCCAGTAACCATTTTCATTTGGAGGATATTGCACTTTGGATCCCAAGAATTGTAATGATAAGCTGTGATTAGCAGTAGCAAGGATTTATGGGTAAAAGCCTGGCAAAAAACTCAGATACCATCAGAACAATGGAAGAGGAAGAAATGGATTATCATGTTGATGAATAACAAGTTATAAGATAATGGTTTTAACTTACGGGATGGGTGTTTCAACTGCATACTGACTTTTCAAGAAGCACCTGGATTCTGTTTAACAATTGGAATTAGGTACAGTCTGGGAGGTTTTGTAACTTTGGATTTATTTGAATATGTGTTGCTCTTAATGTATCTTTGTAAGGAAGTTTGTGTATTTATAGGAAAAGAAGAACACTTCATATTACACTTTTACATCTTAGGCTTGAATGTATTGTCAGAAATATATACAAGCCAGCTTAAAAATGTATAAATACACAAATACATTTTTATATCAAGAATTGTGCAAAAGAGCCCTGCTATGGGCTGTTGTTGCGGCATACGAATTACAATAATGTCATTGCTCAATGTTTCATTATTTATTAACAAAAAACAAGGATACATTGATCAGCATCTTACTGTACAGCCAGCATAGTATAGTGGCTACAGTACTGGAGTTGAATCAGAGAGAAGTAGAATTAGATCTCTGTATAGTCATGAAAATCCCTGGGTTACCTTGGACCAGTTGATCAATTTTTCTCAGTCACACTGACCTCCCAAGGTTGTTTTGAAGGTAAAATGGAATAGTGCCTCCCACATGGCAATACTAAAGCATTCTTACAATAAAAGTTAATTGATTTACAGTAGTTGATTAAGCAAGGAAAATGATAGGTATAATCCATTTATAAGGAACCTATTTGCAGAAAGATTCTACATGTCTTCAGAAAGAGAAATGATTGTTCCAGCCAACATATTGAAAGCCCAGGTCTGGTATAGTGGCAGTCCTTGCCAGCACTCCAGTGCCAAGGTTTACTCAGGGGCTTTGGGATGAAGCTGTATTTTTATTTTCTCCTGTGACAGTGGAACCATTCATAGTTTAGAGATTGCGTGGAGAGCAGCTGTGTGAAACTCACCCTCCAAATGTGATTTTGTTG